AGTTCGCTGCTATATTATTGTCAGTCTTTCCAAATACTTGCAGAAGCAAGTGTACATGATTAAGAGTGGAGTAGAAATGCTTCAGACTCTTAATGACATGTTTACTGCGTCTAGCAGCTCTGCTAGACAGAATGCAGTCGGTGGAGTTTTTGCTAAGAGTCTTGTTAAATCCAAGGGAAAACCCAAGGGTGGTAACAAGAACAAAATAACTTGGTTATCAGTTGTCAAACCAGTTGCTATGACGAAGCCGCAAGGCAAGTTCTTCAAGTGCAGACTGAAGGGACACTGAAAGAAAAATTGCCTAGAGGTGATGAAAAGAACCAGACATGGGTATATTAAGGCCTGATCAGTGAATGAATCATTGATTCAGGAATCACTGATTATGTTTGTTACTCTTAGCAGTAGTTCAAACATGGTATGCCTGTCAGCAGTGGACAAAGATATTTTAAGCTTGAAAATGGGAACTTGTGTCTGCATTTGCAGTAAGACAAGTTATTTAATGACTATGGTTTTGGGTGACTGTTTATTTGTTCCGGATTTCAAGAGGAATTCAATTTTTGTTAGTTGTTTTGGTTCAAACATGGTTTGACAATGCAATTGATTCCTCAGTTACATTTCGAAGTTCATCTTCGTCTTGTTTTGTTCTGGTACATTGTTTAAATAGTCTTTATTACCTATGTCCTATACCCTTTTTAAATTTGTTATGTTGAATGGAAAGGATGATGAACAAGAACTTTCACTAAAGAAATAAAAGTGTCAAATGAAACATAACTTTGGCCTTTGTGATTGAGTCATATTATCTCAAGTAGGAAACATGTTTTAGTTAAAAGAGGGACTGAAAGTTCAATAATCTTTTAACTAACAGCTACATGTTAGTCCTATTTGGAAGGTAAAGTGGCCAAGCAATCCTACAAGGGCCAAAAAGGTTTCGCAACTATTCAACTGGAACTGGTACATACTAAAGTATGTGGACCACTTAGCGTTCAGACCAGAAAAGGTGATGAGTACTTCATTATACGAATGTTTACTCTGGATTTGGACAGATGAACCAAGTGCGCCATAAGTCTAAAGCTTTTGGAAATTTCCAAGAGGTTTAAGTCTGAGGCAGAAAAACATGTAGGTGTTCAAATCAAAACACTTTGGTCTGACTAAAGTGTTGGCTACCTGTCTGGTAAGTTCAGGTCTTATCTGATTTAAGAGGGGATAGTTTTCGTAACTGTCAACTCTAAGAACGCGTTAGTTGAATGAAGTTGCAGTATGCAAAAATCAAACATTTCTAGACTTGGTGAAGATCATGTTCAGTGATTCATCTTTGACAATGTTGTTCAAGGGAGATGCCTAAGAGAAGGAAATGTACCTTCTTAACTTGGTTCCGTCAAAGTTTGTTGTAAAGACACCTAAAGAATTATGGAAAGGGTGCAAGCCCAGATCAAACCATATTCGGATTTAGGGTGCTATGGCACACGTCCTACAACAGCAGTCAAATGAGATGAAATCTTGTATGGAAGAGTGCATATCTTTTGGCTACCCTAAGAGAACTAAGGATGATTTCTTATTTAGTCTTAAGGACAAGATAATCTAAGTGAACACTCACATGATTTTCTTAAAGGAGGACTAGATAAGAAATTATAAGCTCTTAAGTTAGGTTATTCTTGATGAGATTTATCTCAGATCAAGAATTTCCAGAATCTCTAGAAGCTTCATCCACTGTTCCCTTGATTGTTCAAGAGGGGATAGATATATCTCTAAGTGAACAAACAAGAGAACCATGATTGGAAATTCAACATGATAATATATAAGTGAAACTAGTAGAAATATTAGTATCACATGTAAAGGAACAATATCAAGGATAAGCGGATCCTTAAGAAATTGAAGATACATCATTTGACCCACTCTTTGTTTTACCTATAAATACACAAGGTCTAGTGCAGTACATTCGTAGTGGGAGAGAACCTTGTTAACTCTCAAGTTGTCTCTTGTTGAGTGATATTGATCTTACTAGTTACGATAATGCACTAGAAGATGTTGTTGATCAAGTGTTGCTCAGGCTATGAACAATGAGATTAAATACTTGTATTTCAACTCTGTTCTGTCCTAGTAAAGACACCAAGAGGGGTAAAACCCACAAGGTGCATGTGGACATAAAAGGCAAAGAGAGGATGGACAGAAAGGTGAAAACCTTCAAAGCTAGCTTGGAGGCATTTTTTGCCAGACGCTATGCTTGAGTCTATCCAGATTCTCTTAGTTGCTATAAGTCTCAATTATGAGATTTCATTTTGGGAGTTGGATGTCAGGATATCTACATACAACAACCAAAAGGGTTTATAGCAAATGAGTAGGAACACACGGTATGCAAGTTGTGAAAGTCTATTTCATAGACTTAAGCAAGCATCCAGGTCTTGAAACATCAGTTTTGATCAGGTTATCAAAATTTTGATTTTGAGAGAATCTTGATGAATGATTTGTATTTGTATGTAAAGGATCCAATGGAAGACAGTAGTTTTTCTGGTACTTTATGTAGATGATTTGCTTCTTATTGGAAACAATGTGGAGGTAATATCAAGCATAAAGAGTTGGCTAAGTTAGTGTTTTGGTATGGAAGTAATGAGGAAGCCAATTATATTCTTGGTATAAAACTCTTATGAGACCGGAAGAATAAGTTGTTGGCATCACTTCAAGCTACTTACATTGACAAAACTCTTGCCAAAGTTCAACATGAGAATTCTAAGAGAACAATTATAAATTCTCAAATATGGAATTCATCTTCCTAAGGAGTAACCAAAGACTCCTGAGAAGGAAGAATGCATGAGCAGGATATCTTATGCTTTGGCAAAGGTAGACTCATGCATATCATGTTGGGCGTTACACCAGACATCTGTCACGCAGTGGGAGTAGTGAGATAGTACCATTTTGAACCTAGAGGAATACTAGATTATTGTTAAGCATGTACTCAAGTATCTTTGGAGAACGAGAGATTATATGCTGGTATATTCTAGTGGGAGTCTTGAAAAGCTGAGTTTTCAAAAATTCAGTTATTTCAAGTGGATATTGACTCAAGAAAATCAATCTCGAGCTATGAGTTTTTCACTAAACTCAGATAGCATTAGAGGTGGATCTTGCAGACCCAGTTACTAAGAGTTTGCCTGAACTTGTGTTCGAGAGGCATGTTACTTCTTTGGGTCTTAGGAGGATCCTAGACTTGCATTAAGCAAATGGAGTTATTGGTTTCATTGTGCTCTTGGAGTAAGACGATGAAACAATAAAATAATTTTCTGAATTTCATAAATAAGGTTTTATTTATTTATTTTGCGCACTATTTACAAACATAAAGGTCCGGATCAAATTGTGGAGTATATGATCATATGGATACGTTCATGGAGGACATGATCATAGGTTCTCACAATTGATGAATGGAGTCACAGCCGTTAAATAAAGTTGGGCACTTTATTCATGCTGCAATATTTTATGAAATGATTTTGTCCGAATCATTGTAAAATATTGGTGTGAATTAACATTCACATTGAAAGGATCAAGGAGAGATTTGATTAAGGTTGTTTTTCTGTCATAAGGTATCAAATCTCCAGTTAACTATAGTTATGTGATTGCTCTTAATCCTGAGTTTATTATAAATAGGTAATCAAATAGTTTTCATTCTTTGATTTACCAACGGGTGAGGTTCGATCTATTGACGACCAATAACTCGGTATTTTGGGAGTGAGATTATTTGATTATCGGTATTTATGAGATAAACAACATGAAATTTGTAGGATATGTCCCCTTGATATGTTTCAGTACTTGGATATTAAAGACACTGGCCAGTGCATGTAATCCATTAGAGAAACTATCATAGTCAAGGGAATAAATAATTGATTGAGTTACAGAAAACTTGTCAATCAATTATAGACATTCTACAAAGGGGCGATGCATATTCATGTTATAAGTGTTGTTAATCTTGGAGTTCAAGTTCGGGCTTTTAGTGGAGTAGCACCGAATTAGATAATCATTCGTTGATTATCAGGAGCCTTGATTAATAACAGATGGTAGATCCCCAGGCTAGCTTGAGACAAGGGACGGGTTGTATAATCAGATGATGATAGCTTATGGGCTACATAGTTTTTAAAAAATGTCTCTAATGTTATAGAAAATAAAATTTATCTTATATATATATATATATATATATATATCTTATATTTTCTTTTTCTTTCTCCTCTTTACATGACTCCATATGGGTCTCATAATTTTATTTATACGTAGAAGATAATTTTATCTTAAACTTTTTTTATCATGTAATTACTGTAATTTTACTATATTTTGTTCATACTTATTTTTTGAGTTTTTCAATTCACACAAATATAGAACAATATAAGTTAAGAAAATGATCTCATGATTCATACGAAAAATAAATAAAAATCGTGTTAATATGGTATGTCAATTAGATAGAAGAAACATTATGTATAAGTAGTATTTAACAACAGATAGTTATTTGCATACTGTAATTTCAAATGATTTTTTTAATATACTTTTTAAAAGAACATTTTGTTGATTTTGCAAACTGGATATTTCTTATTTTGTTAATACATTTCAACAGATAGAAAATTTAGTAACGTTACCACTCTCATGAATGCTACTACCATACAAGAATAGAAGCATCACCAGGAAGGGATTGAAGCAGCTTCACAAACCAACTCCACAATAAGCTCCCACTTTATTCAATACGAGAAAATAACCCCTTGATCGTCCAAAAGATACTTTATTCAATCAAGGGCCCTTTTTTGGTGCTCATTGCAACGCAAACATTGTGAATAAAATGCCATTTCCCCTTCAGAAAAGGAGGAAACCTTTAGTAGACTCTGATATTTTTTTTTTTTTTTTTTTTTTTTGATAACAAGACTCTGATATTTTATTTAACCATTGTGACGTGTAGAGACATTTTTAGCGTAAGCTTTATTATACAAGTTATGTTAGAAATACATTATTAAATTAGATGCCTAAAATAAATAATATACATTATTAAATTAAATACCAAAAAACAACGATAATTTTATTAAAAATGACACAAAATTATGTAATTTAAAACTACAAAGAATTAACCCTTTATTGTATTCACGTGGGTCATCTAAAAGGAGGATAAGGCCGGGAGTTACCAAAGTAGTTTGTTCCAGTATTTCCACGCCATTCTGCACCTATAGGATTGGGAAAACCATAGTTCGGGGGTGGCCTAAATTGTGCAGGTATTCCACTAGGTCTAGGTATTATACCTCTTTCATTGCCAGGCATAAATACTGGATTGTGTTGAGGAGGGAAGACGGAAGGCACAGCAGTCCGAGGACGTTTGCTGTTGTTACCCCACTGTTGTACTTGATGATCATTGGGGGCTGCTTCAATAGCACGTTTCTTTTTTTGAGGTTGTTGCACTCGAACTTGATTCGTGGTAACTGCTTCACTTGCAGGTTTCTTTTCTCCAGGTTGCTGCACTTGATTCTTAGTGACTGCTTCATTAGCATGTTTCTTTTCTTTAGGTTGTTGCACTTTAACTTGATTATTGGTGACTGCTACATTAGCAGGTTTCTTATTTCCATCTTGTTGCACTTGATTCTTGGAGAGTGCTTCATTAGCAGGTCTCTTTCGTCCAGGTTGTTGCACTTTAACTTGATTCTTGGTGACTGCTTCATTAGCAGGTTTCTTTTCTCCAGGTTGTTCCACTTTTTTAACTTGATTCTTGGTGACTGCTTCATTAGCAGGCCAAGTAATTGCAACTTTGGAGGAAGGCTCTGATGCAGAAAGAACAATATTTTCCTTTATCTGTTCTAGCACAAGAATGCGATCTTGAATCTCATTAACTAGGTCTTGAGATTCTAGATTGTTATCTGAAATACACTGTAGAATAGTTTCCAGACTAGCAATTTCTTTATCTCTGCCCATAACCTGAGTTCACGTTCAACATATTACTAGAATGCAATTATATGATGACTAATAACTTAATGAAATAGAATTTGAATAGGCAAAAGGAACCTTTTTTTCAATGGACTTTTTTTTACGGCAAATTCTCTTGGAAATCAGTTTAGCTTTCAGCATATGTTGTCGCAATAGATCAACTGGTTGGATCTTGTAAGCCAACTTATATGCACAAATGAATCTAACAGCTTCAATATGCTGCTGGTTCTGGACAAGATTCTGAACAAAATCTGCGAGACACAAGACAATTTCACTTCGTCAAATCAAAGCAGAAAAATCCTATGGTATATTACATCAGAAAAATCAGCAGAAGAATTAGGACATGCTCGTAGTGACTAGTTCAAGGCAAAAAAAAAATACAGGCAAATGGTATCCAAAAGTTGTTAGGAGAAGGAAAAACAAAAAGCAAATCTTAGATTTAGAAAATTCATATAGCTGTCTTATTTTATTTTTCGATAACATTTTTAATATATATTTTAAAAAAAAAAATCCCCTCAATTATCTACACCCAAAAAGAAGAAAAAACAGGGCTACAGGTGACTAAATAAGACAATTGTTAATAAACATACCAGAGATTTTATCCACAAAACCAAGGGTCCGAAACAGCGAAACAGCTTGCTTGTGTTGTGCAGCAAATTCAAAAAGCTTTAAAACTTCATCTTCATTAAAATAAGAAACTAATCCATAAACAGACAAGAGCAGTAGAAAACCCAAAACCACCAAAGAATTTTCAGTATTAGCTCTCATGTTAGCTTTCAAATCAAGTGCTAGCTTCATTGCCTCTTCTCTCAAATCAAGTGCTAGCTTCACTGCCTCTTCTCTTACATGAGGTTCAATACGTGGTGACATTCTCATCAGCTGTTCTAAAAGAAAGATGTGACTCCCGTCAATCATTACACCTTCGTTTCCCTCCCTATTCTGTGGAACAATAGGGTTCTGTATTATATCCAAAACGAGTTTTGCTGGATCTAATGATGTTTGGAGATGAACAGAAATTTCGTTGTCAATCAACTCAGACTCATTTGTTTGCTCATCAGAGAGCAACTGCAAATCTCTTCCATCAATGGTCGGACTTATTTGATTATCTGTGTAAGACAAAACTGAATATTTAGCTAGCAGATATTTAAGCTTCCTCATGTTTATAAAAGCATCAGAAAATCAAGGTGACAATTGGAAAATAATGATCATAGAAAGCAATATGAAAGTATGCAAAGCTCTCCAAGATTGATATGCATGGGTGACAGAAGGAAAGCCGTTTTATAATAATATCTGCAAAAATTCGGTTTGGTTCGACCCATGCACATCCCTAATCATACGGTTGAGGTCAACTGAATTAGTGCCATTTGACATTAGGTGCTACAGAAGTTATTAGGAAAATGTTAACCTAGAAATGCTGCTATATTATGCCCCAAAAAATAAAATAAAAAATCCTTGTGGACAGAAATGTATTGGTATATATGAAGGCTCTTTTGCTAACTAGTCAGAGATTAACATTTACTGAATTTCTTCTCTTTGATCTTAAGGACTATTAAGTGCCCCCATTGTTTGTCAGGAAACTGAACAAATGTTGTAACTTGTAAGCCACACACCATTTCGAATATAGTTTAAGAATGGACTACATTAATTTATTAAAATCGACTTAATGAAGGATGCAAAGTAAGAGTTTCTACAACTGTTTAAAAAGGTCCACAATATAATTCTAGTCACTTGGACAACAAATCATTAAAGATATTTATATACCTAACTATTCTTTCAATTTGATCAAGATATACAACATTAACCTGACTACAGAGAATTTCAACAAAACACAGATCAGGTGAATAAAAAATATCAGTATAATTAAAGGCAACAGTTGAGATGAAAATTGTTCCAACAAACTAGAGAAAGAAGTGCATATACCTTGTAGTTTTTCAATACAACCAAGGGCTTGTGGAGTCTGACAATGGTGGGCAATTATGTCTAGAAGATTCTGAAGTTCATTTTCATTGAAAGATGAACCAATCTCATAAGTAGCAACAAACTTCAAAAAATCTAGGACCCCCAAACAATCCTTATCACCTGCAGCTATATTCACCTTCCAGTCACTTGCCAATTTCATAGCTTCTTGTTTCACATGCAAACTAGTTACTGGTGAAGACTTCTTTAATTCATCCATCAAAAAACTACTGCATATTCTCCTTAAAATATTTGCATCATATTCAATAAGTTCTTGCCTCAATTGAGGAGAATGAAAACCTTTTATTGTATCTAGCACCAACTTAGCAGGGTCAGCTGATGTGTGAAGAACATCAGAGACTTGACTACACAGCAACTCATATTTTTTCAGAAGATTAAAAAGCAATTGTAAATCCTTGCTGTTGCTTACACTGTCAGCATCTTTAAAATACAGCTGCTCAGTCTCTACTTGATGAAGGAGGATATTGGACTTCTTGATCAACACTTTTTCCTCTTCAAATGATTCATATTGCTTCTCTTTTAAATCAAGTTCCCTTAGTTGTCCTTCAAACTGTCTCTCTTGACTCGAGCTCCTTTAGTTTCACTATAAATTGTGCCTCTTTCAAGTCAAGTTCCGTCACTTGCCCTTCAAATTGATTCTTTTTGGACTCAAGATCCTTCATTTGGCCTACAAACAGCTTCTCTTTTGACTCAAGTTCCTTTACTTGGCCTTCAAAATGCTTTTGTTTTGATTCAAATTCCTTCACTTGACCTTGAAACTGCTTCTCTTTTGAGTCAAACTCCTTTACTTGGCCTTGAAACTGCTTCTCTTTTGACTCAAGCTCCTTTACTTGGCCTTCAAAATGCTTCTGTTTTGATTCAAGCTCCTTCACTTGACCTTGAAATTGCTTCTCTTTTGAATCAAACTCCTTTACTTGGCCTTCAAAATGCTTCTGTATTGATTCAAGCTCGTTCACTTGACCTTGAAATTGCTTCACTTTTGACTCGAGCTCCTTTACTTGGCCTTCAATATGCTTCTGTATAGATTCAAGCTCTTGCAGTTGACCTTGAAACTGCTTCTCTTTTGACTCCAGCTCCTTTACTTGACCTTCAACATGCTTTCGTTTTGATTCAAGCTCCTTCACTTGACCTTGAAACTGCTTCTCTTTTGACTTGAACTCCTTTACTTGGTCTTCAAAATGCTTCAGTTTTGATTCAAGCTCCTTCACTTGACCATGTAGTTGCTTCTCTCTTGACTTGAGCTCCTCTACTTGGCCTTCAAAATGCTTTTGTTTTGATTCAAGCTCCTTTTCTTGAACTCCAAACTGTTTCTCTTTTGACTCGAACTTCTTCACTCGCACTTCAAACTTAATCTCTTTTGACTCGTGCACCTTTACTCGCCCTTCAAATTGCTTCTCTCTTGATTCAAGCTCCTTTACTTGGCCTTCAAAATGCTTCCGTTTTGATTCAAGCTCCTTCACTTCACCTTGAAATTGCTTCTCCCTTGACTTGAGCTCCAGCTCTAGCCCTTCAAGTTGCTTCTCTTTTAACTTAAGCCCATCTTCTCGTCCTTCAGTTCGCTTTTCTTTTGATTCAAGCTCCTTCACTTGTTCTTCGAATTGTCTCTCTTTTGACTTGAGCTCCTTCACTTGGTCTCCATATTGCTTCTCTTTTGAAGAAAGCTCATTCAGTCGTTCATTAAGTTGCTTCTCTTTTGAAGAGAGCTCATTCGATCGTTTGTTAAGTTGCTTCTCTTTCAAAGCCAGCTCATTTGAAGAGAAGCAATTTAAAGAACGATCGAGCTCTTTAACAAACGAGCTCTCTTCAAAAGAGAAACAACTTAATGAACGTTCTTTAAATTGATCAGTCGTTCATTAAGTTGCTTCTCTTTTGAAGAGAGCTCATTCGATCGTTCATTAAGTTGCTTCTCTTTCAAAGCCAGCCAGCTCATTCTGAATGAGCTGGCTTTGAAAGAGAAGCAATTTAAAGAACGATCGAATGAGCTCTCTTCAAAAGAGAAGCAACTTAACAAACGAGCTCTCTTCAAAAGAGAAACAACTTAATGAACGTTCTTTAAATTGCTTCTCTTTCAAAGCCAGCTCATTCGATCGTTCTTTAAATTGCTTCTCTTTCGAAGCCAGCTCCTTCACTTGCCCTTCATATTGCTTCTCTTTCGACTCGAGCTTTTTCACTTGCCCTTCGTGTTGCTTCTTCATTGACTCAAGGTCCTTCACTCCTTCAAGCTTCTTCTCTTTCTTTTCAATCTCCAAATTGCTTTCTCTCATCATCCATGTGAGAGTATCAATCTCTTTCCTCTTTGATCCAAGCTCACGAACAAGCTGATTGATTCTTACACGCATGGACTTAATTAAGTCCTTCCTTTTAAAATCTAGTTGGTTACCTTTTCCATTAATTAATCTCTTCATTGCATCAAGCTCTTCCTCTTTCGTCCTAAGCTCCATATTACATTCAACAATTTTCTCTGATAGAGCCCTGAGTTCATCTTTCTTCGCTTCACTATCTCTATGAATGTTATCCAGGAATTGATGAAAATCCATATCTTTCGCCATGAGCTCTTGCTCGCGCTCTCTAATCAAGTCCTCAATCAAAACTAGCCGTCCTTGCTTCGCTCTGAGATTGTTGACACATTCTTCAATTTCCATCTGCATTTTGTCGCGCTCAATGATCACCTGGTGCGCCATATCATGTTGCCAGTTACACGCTTCCTCCTTCAACCGCAGCTGCATCTCACACTCGCTAATGTGCTTCTGTATCAACTTGAGTTTCTCTTCCTTTGCTTCAAACTCTCTGTTACGTTCTTCCACTCGTCTTCGAATAGCATCGTATTCTCTCTCTTTCGCATCGATATCTCCACAAAACAAGCTCAATTGTCGTTTGATAGAACTAACTTGTTTGTCCTTAGTCTCAAACGCTTTGGAACGCTCCTCGATGTGTATCTCTAGGGAATGCAATCTCTGCTCTTGTGCTTCTCTCTTAACGCGACACTCCTCAATCGATTTTCGAAGCAATGCAAGTTCTTGCTCTTTCAAATCACGTTCGGAATAGGATCCCATAATTGATTCCTGGAGGCAGGCAGGCCTGTGCGATTACTGCAAATTATGATCAAAGGATGTAAATTTTTCGGTGATGGAGAAAGACGATGACGGATTAGGGTTTATCACAGATTCACAGGAGTGGGATTTTATAGAATTAGGTCTCACTGCGAAAACTTAAACAAACCTATTTATAACCGTCGTATAAATAAAAATAAAAATTAACAGCTGGTTTATGAATAAATCTTTATTTAGTGACTCAGCATCTATCCATTTAGTATAGCATATGCATTGACTCAGCATCTATCCATTTATCTCGTGTAGATAAAAAAAATGGGGAAGATTGTTCGTTATTTTAAATGATAAAAATTTACGTTATTTTAAAAGAGAGATAGACATATAATTTTATTTTTTAATTTAAATTAAAAAAAATCACTCACTTTCTCTCTATCGTGATTTTCATTCTCTGTATCTATCTCTATCTTAAAATGACATAATTTATGTCATTTAAAATGACAAACATCAAATCCTAAAAAATATCATATTATTTAAAAAATAAATAATATGATATTCATTTTATCCACTGTTACAAAATAATAGGATAAATACATTGAATCTTATGATATCCTAAAGATTTATTCCTAATTAGCAGTGTGAATTTAAAAAAAAAAAAAAAAATCTCTGTCTTTAGAAACTGGACTACTAAAGATTTATTTCCTATTGGATTGAGAAATTAATGAAAAATATTTTGAAATTTTTAATTTATTTTTTATATATAAATTTTACCAAAAATTCTTCATTAATTTTCCCATTTATCACAAGTAGATAAAAAATATTATATTATCTAAAAAACAAATAATATGATATTTTTTTATGCATGTTACAAAATAATTGGATAGACACATTGGATCTTATGATACACCAAAGATTTATTCCTAATTAGCAGTGTGAATTTAAAAAAAAAAAATCTCTGTCTTTAGAAACTCGTCCATTGATATGTCACATTTTATTGATGCGATATATATACAACTGGACTACTCAAGATTTATTTCCTTTTGGGCGGAGAAATTAATGAAAAGTATTTTGAAAATTTTAATTTATTTTTTATATATAAATTTTACCAAAAATTCTCCATTAATTTCCCCATTTTCAAAATAATATAATTTGGCAGTTGATAGAAATAATTTTATTTCATATTAATGGAGAATTATAAATCGGTAAAAAAATTAACAATTAAGAATAAAGTAACATTAATCATAATAAAATTCGGCTATTTATATTTAAAATAAATAATTTAAACATTTAATAGTTATTATAAACACAAATAAAAATAAATAGATTTGAATGTTAAAAGTCACATGTACCAATGAAATAATCGATTTTAGGGAAAAATATTTCTGCAGTTAATGCAGATAAGTTATCTGCATTTATTTTCAAAACGATGTCGTTTTCGTATTTAAATCTTAAAAAATAATAAATATAAAAATTATTATAATCTTGAAATAAATTAAAATTACAAAAATACTATGATTTTTGTCTCAAAACGACGTCGTCGTATTAAGCTTACTGCAGATAACTTACCTGCAGTAACTGCAGCAGAAAAAACGAACTCTTGATTTTAAGCTATCATATTTTAAAAAATTATATCACATAAAATAAATAAGGAACTCGTATCTCAAATCAGAAGTAATTATTCTGATTCTTTGAGAAAAAAATAAATTGACTTTTTTCGGAAGAAAATGAAAATAGAAGATCCTAAATAAAGTCATAACAATTTTAAATTGACTAAATTTAAGAAATATTAATATTTATTTATTCAAAATTTTGAATGAATAATACAATATCCTTCATTATTACATTATAAATAAAAAATACTAATTGATAATTAAATAATTAATTACAAAAATGACATAAAAATATCGAAAAAAATTCAAATACCCATATTGTTTGCCTTTGAATCACTTTCAACCTTATATATTTTTTTGTCATTTATATCCTTATATATTTTTTTATCATATATATCCTTATATATTTTTTATCCTAATTCATCCTTATTAGAAACTTAATCAACATGTATATTTTATTCTTCTTATAAGTGCATCATTAACAGAGTAACTTAATCAATAATTCTCCATTTAGATTTCACATTTGCAACTGGGTAAATTCTGCATAAATTAACAGGAAATCAGCTTCACAAAAAACTAACGAAAGGTGTAACGACCCAAAATTAATTTCGATAGATAAAAATAAACAATGGATTAGTGGGAGACAACAATAAGCGAAGAGTTCTATCGTGCATGCAAGAAGACAACCAAATTTATTTAAAAACCTGTTAAAGCACGTGGTGAGCTGCTGTATTCGACCAAGAAAATAAAAAAATTATTCATCTTACATTTATATGGTGACAAACAACTATATAGTATTTGACTATTTGGAATCTACTTTCAATATCTAATCAACGCAATATAATATTAGGAACCTAGATTAAAGATACGTGCACGGACACGCTCTGACATGTTTGGACACATATCTGACATGTTTGGAGACACGCGGTTAACTCTCTGACACGTTCCGACACGCAGTCAATATTTGGAGACACGCGGTCAACATTTGAGGACACGTTCGGACACGTTTTTTTTTTTTTAAATCTTAATTTTATTTTGTTAACTAAATATAAAAAAAAAAATTTATAAATTAATTTTTTTCTGTTATAAAATTTGACATTAAAAATTAACAAACTACGAAAAATTATTTATATTTATTGTTATGTTATGAAATTTAAATATTTAATTGTTTATGTGACTTATTATGGACTCTTATATATATTAAATATAAATCATATTATATATATTAAAAATTTTATTTAATATCAAAACGTGTACCAACGTATCCAAATATGACATTTTTTAGAATTAACATGTCGGCGTGTCGTGTCGTGTCCCGTGTCGGTGCATCATAGACGCCTACAATTGTTAAACAACACATATAAATTAAAAATTGAAATTGCACGCTAACCCTGGAAGTTGATGATGATTTCAACTTCACTAGTGCTCTCCTGCTTTTCTTATCCTTTCCCTAGTTTCCTGAACATGTTCACGTGGGGTTATCTGAAGATAAATAAATTGCTTGACTAGAGATAGGTTTTTGATAGTCGGTGAAGGAGGGATGGCGGTTAAGTGAGGGGTTATGGGTTCAGACTCCTCTTTCTTTAAATAATAATAATAAAAAATATCATTTGAATTATCAACAAAATTCCCGAGTACAATTTAATTTCTTAGGAAAAAAAATCGACCCGTGGTGTATTTGAATTCTAAAATAAATTCGATTAATCAAAATCGTGGTCCTTCTGAAATTCAAAAAAGATTCACGTTAGTCTTTCAAACGAATTAATATAGGTCTATTTTGAATTCAAAGATATCACGAGTCGATTTTTTTCTAAATTATTAAATTGTGCCCATAATTTTTAGTAAGGACCCAAAAGATATTTTATTTTAAAAAAATATATCATGTTTAATAACAAAAAGAAAATAAAACTCAAAACAAATAAAAATAATAAGTAAATTAAAAGATTATAAAATAAAGATAGTAAAAAGTATCTTATCTTATATTATAAAGGAATTCCATTCTGTGGAAACCTTGCTGACGTGTCGCACTGTGGTTTAATTTCACCAATGTGTTCACACTACAACATTTAAAAAAGTTTCCTTTAATGGTAAATCGGTGAATATAATAAATACATAAAAGAATTATATTTTCACCAATGTGTTCACACTACTAAATCACTCTTTGTCGTTATCTTTGTTTTTTAAATCTTTATTCAGTTTAATTCAAAAACTTCACATTTTTTAAAGAATACAATTCTATTTACTAGAAAAAAAATTAATTAGTAAAAAAATAA